CAGCAGGAAGTTTTAATGCAGTCAAGGTTGCCTGTAAATGAGGCAAAGGTGCCATGTGTGGATCTGATGGACTTCCAAATGAGGGGTAAAACTGGACCAGACTTGCTCCATACAATCTGCTTTGATCTCCCAGTCTCCCCTGTGATATCCAGTACTACACCTTGTAGCCCTAAAGCCGAAGGTCCTCCCCCTCCTCTTCTCAATGTCCATCTTTCTGTCTTGACACACACACGCACACATTCACCATCCACAACCACACTGGACTCTCTTTTGAAAGTCTAGAGCTTGATTTAAAATTCCTCTTCAGAGCGTGTCATGCATTTTATATGCATGGCAAGTGGGAGAGCGAGAGAGGAGGGATCGCAGGGAGCTCCAGCCCAAATGAACTTCTCTCTGCTGTTGGTCTCCTCGGGGATATATCCATACACACGCGCATACCACCACCACTTTCACTCCTTTCCCCTCATTTTCCCTCACCCGCTCAACTCTTTCAACATTAGTTTTACTTCATCATGCTTTTCACAAATTACACTGAGCAGCCAGAGTGCCGTAGCCTTTGAAGACAAGTGTGATCAGAACAGAGGCTGGGGGGGTTTAAAAAAAAAAAAAAAAAAAGGCAGAGGCAGGGCATTTAGGTTTTTGCGCTCATGTTTAGCAGTGTGTGGAGCAGAAGACGGAGGCTGACAAGTGCAGCGTTTGGGGACAGCTTTGATGTCTGATGGGGTACGGCTGCTGCTCGTGCAGCTTTTGCAGTCCTTCACGAGGAGACGTTGACATGAGAAGGCCTGCATTTACAGTTAACCGCTGTGGATAGATATATCATTAAAAGAGCACTGCTGATCCACTGCTGTCCACCTTTCTTATTCTCTAACTGCTTTGCCGACCTGCACAGAGATTAAACAGAATTTGAAGGAAAAAATAAAGTAGACAATATGAACTTGGACTGCAGGTGTTTCTGAAATCTTGTTTATTGGGAACAGTATAACCCCTAGCTTATTGTGGATATAGCGGTAAACAACAGAAACACAATTCACTGTTTTTAAGTGCTACAGGTTTGCGATTACAGACAAAACGGTACAGTAACCATAGCGCCTACATTCATATGCACAGAGTATTAAAAAATTACAGTATATTGCTATTAAATCACCCTCTGCTTCTCTCTGGCCACGCAATTAGATTATCAAACACCATGGGAGTGATTTAAAGTGATAAATAAGATGAGGTTTAGATCTGGTAAGATTTTATACCACTGCATTATCATTGGAGCACAAAGTTGACAAAAGGTAAGCACGTATAATACAGTAACACTAGACAAATCCTGCATAGTGAGATCATACAACCTCATCAGACAGTGTAGGGCAGTGACACATATTCTCAGTAAGCTACTTTTAAATTAAAGATTAATACAAGTTAACTTTGGTTTCCAGCTCTCTAGAACTATACTGTAAATTTGTGGCATTTTAAGCTGTAAGTGAAAGGTAAATTGACAGTATAGCAGCCTTAAGCCAATATTAATGACACATTCACTTTTTAAACATTTTCTTGTTATAATAGCAGCCAGAAAATAATGTAGTTACAGTGTGATTCCGTAGAATAGAAAAAAAAAGTGAAAACTAAAAACGACTTTTCAAAGTACTGTTAGTCATCTGGTACCTGGGAATAAATAGAAAATGCAACTTCTTTGTTATTTTCTATCTTCTGCCCTATTCTGTTATAAATATGGTTACACATAGTGAATATTTGTTATGTTGTGAATGTGATGTCTTTCATCCATGCAATAAAGAGGCTGAAGATTTTTAATAATAAAGAAATAAAATCAGTTTTCCATAACCAGTGTGCTAGTTACTGTATATAATAAAATATGGAGTCGGTGTGAGCCTTCCCAAAATTTTCTATCCGACTGGAACACAAGACAGACATCAATAAAAACAGACAAAGGATCGAATCGGTGAATGAATGCATTTGTAGGCTGGAGAGAAGGGGCAGCTCAGGTTTCAGCACACAGGACACTCTGGCTTTAGTGCCACTGAAGCCCTGCCGTCATGGTGTTCTGCTCGGTCATCTGTGGCCGAGTGACGTCAACAACCGTCTCTGTCAGATTGGATTCTAGCATCACCGTAAGGCTTCGGCAGCTGGAGGACACATGTTGACAGTGTCAGCTCTGAAACCCGGGTGAGCCCAAATGGACTGAAGACAGAGGTAGAAAAAAGACAAAAGAACCGATACTTTGTAGAGTTGCTTGGTGCTAATAGTAACAGTTATGATTATTTGAGCTTTAAATGGGAATAATTTAGCAGAGGAGTGGTCTCGATCACTATGCTTGAGGAATGCATTCTTAAACTCCTGTCAGTTTATGTTACACGGGCTTACCCCCTTCCTACGTTGCAAAATGCAATGTTTATTTTACTTCTACCTCACTCTTGGTGCTGTGCTCAGTATTTCTCTCATCAACGTGTCATTTTTCTACAGTGAGGTTCTCCAGCATGTTTTTCAGTCCTTAAAAAACCCTCTTTTTCTGCAGTTAAGCCACACAATATGGGGTTTGGCATGTTGCAAACAAAATCAGATAAACATAAAAATTGCAACCAAGAAGCTTTCAAGAACTTTTCAAAGTTAAACTCGATCCTCCACTGACCCATCCTTTGTTAAAGGCCAGGGTGAGTATAATGGTGCAGTGTGTTCGGAGTTGACTAGAGCTGTCTGAGCAGTGAAAGCAGCAGACACACACCACATTGGTTGTAGCAAGCTTTTTCCATTATACATTCTGAGCAGCTGTTCTGTAGAGGAAATCCTTTGATGGACAACAGCCGGGGGATTGGAGTCCAGAGTTCAAACAGGGTTCTTCACCTCAGCAAGCAGGGGTAGGGCTGCCTCCTCACCGGCGTGGGGTGTCACCGCCGTCATCATCATCGTCGTCCCTGCATCTCCATCATCAAGGCCTCTACATAGAAGCCCCTCATGAGCTTCAACACATGCAACACATCTACACTAACACTCAATGGTCATGCTATAACTAGTACAGAAGCAGGCAGAACATAAGAAAAAGACAGATGCATGCCACAGATCCCTCATCTCTCATTACTCAGCTTGATTACATCTGTGCCACCTCTTTTCAAGACATCCTTGGCTCTCTATGGGCAATGCATCTGGTTCTATCAGTTGTTTTGATTCATGTCTGTTTTAACACGGAAGGGCGAAAAAGAGTTTTTGGCTTGAAGGCTTTGAAGAGATTTGGAGAAGTCTGAAGGTCGTTTGAAGGATCAGGGCGTCTTTAAAAGGAAAAAAGAGAGGCACAAGTAAAAGGAAGGGGGATGCTGAGAAATAAAGACAAGGTAGGACTGGTTCATTTCTGTGTAAGGTAAGCTCCAATAGTAAGGCTAGCTGCTCCAAGTGCAGCCAGACCAAAAACTGTCTTGATGGAAGGCCAAGAGCAACTGAAGACCGACTCCCTCTGTCTGTCATACAGCTCCACAAAGGCATCCTGGGAAACAGACAGGAAGACAGGGACGATTAGCTGACCTGTTGTGTTCTCAAAAACATTACATTTATTAAAAAAAAAAAGATTAAAACAGCTGAACACTAAGTTTGAGGAAATGTTACTCAAATAGTAGTAAATACTTTATTTGTGGGGGACTATTTTCAGCTGCAGATTAATACACATTTGGAGATCTAGTGAGTATATACAACAGCAGGGTGATCACCGTAATGACGGAACATGTCAGCAAGTGCATATGTATGGCTCATTGATGTGTTTTTAACCGCTGGACAACAGTGATATCAGGCTTTAGCTACACAGACCTGTTAGCAGGATCAGTGGATTGTTAAATTGGGTCTTTTCATGGGATTTGTTGACAACAAGAACAATAGCATATTGCCAGCCTTAGCCTTCCTAGGGTCACTTCACCCAAATTCTAAAAATAGTTTGACTTGATTTAGTGCGTCTTCACTGATAGTTTTGGTTTCTAAATGTTCAACACTGTGATATTCATCTTCATTTTACTGGGATGGCAACAGAAATTGGACTCGCACCCTCCTAGGCGCACCCTCAGACAACCCTCTTACACAACATAACACAATAAACAATCGTGGGAATCACCTAAAGAGCCCATTCGCATCATTCATTGCATAAAGATATTAATGTTTCTCTGATCAGGCTCTGCTTTCTGCTGTTAACAGAGCTTTTACAAATGGTACAAATTGGGGATTGAGAATTGTGCGTGTACGTATAAGGACCGTGGGGTGAACACTACAGCTGAGCGTCTCAGATGAGGAAATACAGACATCTGCTCATAAGCAGTGACAGCAGGAACAGCTGGACAGGAAGTCATGGCGCTAAGCTCCCCGGTCTGCCACACACAGACACACACACTGACACAAGTGCATTATCTTGAACAAAACTACAGCAGAGTGTACTTTAGAAAGGTGTATGAGAGGCTATATCAACAGTTTCCTATTGAATATCGGCTCTTTTGTTACAAAGCTGCGACCACATTAGTTGCACTGGTTTGAAGCTGTATATCTGAACTCCTTTGATGCCTCTGTTGGTCTTTCTGTGAACAATGGTGAATTGTTAAGTTTAATTCACTACAACATTACTGTGCCAGTTCACATGGGAATCTATTATCATTCTATTTTAATCTGCCTTGACTTAACTCAATTTACCTACAGTAATTATGTTTTGTGTAACTCAAGCTGGGATATACACATTTTATTTGACCTTGATCTAGTAGATGCAAAACTAGGTCATTTTACTGTCTTTCGCAAGTGTCACATTTTAATACAGCTTCCTTTCATCAAGCACGAACCCACACAGGACCAAAGAAAAAAGGCAGAGAACCATTTTGAAAGGCTGTGGGGAGACAAAAGTATTTCCTGCTTCCCTCTCCTCCCTTCCCCAAGCATTCCTGAGGCTGGGGGCCAGTCGGTGACACAGGGGAGGAAGGATCAGCAGTTTCTTTCCAGTTTAGGCCCTCGGGTGTCAAAACACACTGTGCACTTACAGTATCTTACAACATCTTTAAGTGCACGGCATTTTATTTGTTGCGGGTTTTTGATTATCCAGGGCTAAAACAAAAGTTTACCAGAATCTTGGTGAGACTGAGACATGGATGTGCTCTGAGCTAAATGCTAGCATTATGCTAATACTAGGCAGGTAAAATGTTCTTCAGTTTTACATGCTAACATTTGCTAATTAATACTAAACACAAAGTAGAGCTGAGAATAATAGGGAATATCATTAGGTTTTAGTGTTTGTATACCAAAGTACTGGACAGTGATCATGGGAAAATTTAAAGTCAGAGCATCACCAGAGTGACTGTAATTCGTCCTGAGGGTTACACTAAATGTCACAATCAACCATTTAATTTCACTCAAAGCCACACATGTGAGACTCCTGGTGGTGGAGGATTCGGGAGATCGCCATCCTCTGGGAACCATGAATGTCTAGATCTCTACAATAGTTTGTGAGATATTTCAGCGTTGTTTAAATGGGTGAACTGACAAACTGACATTACCATACAGCCATTAGTAAGGCTTAAAATTGAGAGCAAAATGTCAGATTTATTTTGGAGAACTCTGAACAGGCCCTATGTTTCAATGATAATCATAACACCCCCACCCTCCTCCATGATTGTGGTATTAGAAAACACACTCTGGAGGGGACCGCGTTAGTTGGCACAAGCACTGACCTTCATTCTTTTCCCACCTACTCCTGGAAAATAGTAGTTTGCTGAGGCAACAACACAAACCAGCCACCAGGTCCAGGGACAAGTGCATGTGACTTACCATTAGCAACAAAATGGCAAACTCATGATACATGTCCTCAGTATGTCCCAGACAGTCAGCATAGATTATCATCTATTTAAGTCTGAAACAAAAGCAGGCCAATTACAGTAAGAGGTTCATAAGAGCAGTGATGGATGTTTAAAAGAATCCCACAAGGACATGGATGGTAATAACTCCTGCCTGAGTCAGGGGAGAGCTAGGGAGGGCTAGGGAGAGGAGGGAGGGGAGGGAGGGGAAGGGTGTCAGGTGGATATCATAAGACTGAGGCATGCTCCACTTCAACTCCTGGAACTTTTTCACCCGCACGTTAGCAAGCAGAGCTGCCCCACCACGTGAGCAGTGTGAAAAACAAACCTTAGCACTTTCTGTGTGTGTGTGTGTCTTTCTCCCTCTGTACTGCCTGTCATTGTGAAAATCTAAGCCTCTGGAGAAAAAATATGCAGCTGGCTAAGGATGACACAAACGGTTGACTGGGACAGGAAAGGACAAAACATCTGCATTCATCACATCAACAAAAGACTCCATAATCCTCAAAAACTCATCTTTGCCCTGCAGCGGAGCCATCTGCCATCAGCAGCAGGTGTGCATCTGGGAAATAAAGTCCAGGGCGCAGTATTCATTTTTGGATCAAATGCTTTTAGAAAGGTCACAGCTGCCTACAGAACCTATGAATCCAATAGGAAAATGCCTAGCCAGGTTTATACACTCTTCTTTTCTCTTTTACTGCAACACAATGAATCCCTGAGAGAGACGTGTACAGAGCAGAACAGCAAGAAGATCCTGTACTCAGCCATGGGGTGGCAGCTTGCTGCCTGAGCGTCATGGTTACCCAGGCTAGAGGCTTCACACATAATTTGCTTTTCCCACCAGCAGGAGAGAGCCTGTCCTCGACCTCTGATTTGTTTTTCACATAATTTAGACCTCTGGGTTTTGCTCTGTGCCTTTGTCAGAGACACAAAGAGATTTTACACTGTTGTCTTCCTCGGATGGTCTTACGCTATCTTAAGGGCAGCAGGAAATACCATTGGCCAGCTCCTTTGGGTATTCCCCTTTCTCCTGGGAATGATCCCTCAGCTAGTGTAGAAGATAATGAGTCATCTTTTGTGCTTGGTGAGCTCTATTAAAACCCCAAGCAGTGTTCTGCCAAAACAGAAAAAATGATTAGGCAGTCATCTCTGTTTTGGGACATTTTTGTGGGTAATTGCAGGCAGACTGAGACTAAGAGAAAGGGATGTGGGTTAAAGTTCAACTTGTAATTAAAATGCATGTTGTGGCTTTGCTGCTATATTCACCTCTGAACAGAGCTTCTCCCTGCACTTAGTTTTTTCTCTACGTATTCACATGGTAACGCATGTATAATATTGCACATGATGCTGCTTCTGCCCAACTTTGATTTTGTAATGAGCTTCTTGCAGAGTTCTCCGCAGCCAATTAGTCAAACAAAAGAAGAAGCCAAAGGGGAAGAGATGGGAGATTTAGAAAATGCAAGGAAGGCATTAATGTCCTCTGTAATTGATCTGTTTGGATCACAATTTACACTTAAATCTCTCTCATTTGTGTGTGCATATTCTTTTTTTCAGGTATGAATGCATACACAGATTCAGAAAACAACACCAGCCCTTTCCAGACACAATAGGTGCAACAACAGCAACCTCTCGTCTGGCAGCAAGGTCAGGTTCCATCAAATCTCTGGAGGGTCATCCATCGACTGGCCCGGCAAAAAATGAGATGACGGAGGAGTTTTTTGCAAGACTCATTACGCAGTAAATCCCCCTGTGTCAGCACTGCCAAACAGCTTGGAGCTGAGGACACTAAGCCCTTCACTACACTGTGACCATACTGCAATAGGCTACTGGGGAACAACAGCCACACAAGAGACAACAATTTGGGATTGGAAGTGATAAAGCTCTGAAAAATATGTCCAATCAGTACACAGACTTTTAGTGGGTGCAATAACAAAGGTCTGACATTTCAGTAGTGATGTGTGGATCGATCCTCAAGTATTGATACTTCCAATTCCAACATTTCCTGTTCTAGGATCGATTACCAAGTTAAAATGTTGATATTTAAAATAACTGGGCTAATGTGAGCAAAATGTATATTGTAGACAGTAACTATCTTATCCAGGACAGCCAAAATTATACCTAGTCGATAGAAACCACTTCTCCTTTCACTTGTCACAGTCATATATGCAAACTACGGTTTTGTAAATGTGTGAGATGACAACCAAGATGACATGTAAAGGGTTCTTGTATGAATGTAGTATGGATGTAATCCCACCGCCAACAGTTCAGTATCTGGGCTGCAGAAACGTCCCTTCACAGTTTGTGAGCAGGGTGACACCATTTGTTGTTAAACATGGCAGATTCACCTTATATCTCCTCTCCTTCATCAGCCTTTGTTATCTGGACCCATCACCTTTCCCTTGTTTTGTTGAACAGGGTATTGTATCAGTGATACCAGCCTGAATTTTACTTGGTATCAGACTGGAAAGGAAACAAATGCTATCGCACATCACTACATTTCTGATGCTCATTCTCTTTGTGGTGGAGAGTTAGATGAAACGATTAATAGCTGGTTTGCTTAGGTGAGCATAAAGACTGGAAACAGCCAGTTTGGCTCTGTCCAAAGGTAACAAAATCCCTTTATATCTTCACAGAGACTCCAGGAAGTTACTGGTCCCAGCCAAGGGACCAGTAACTTCAACATTTGTACATATTCGACAAACACAATACAACATGTTAATTACAGGTGGTAAGCAATTGCATTACTGTTTCCTGTCTTTGTGCTAGGATAAGCTAACTGGCAGCTGGCTGTAGCCTTTCATTTAGCCAGCTAATGGAAAAACAAGACAGTGGTATCCTGTCATCTAATGCTCTGCCAGAAAATTAACACAAAATAACATATTTCCAAAATTGTTTGGAAAAACGTCACATTTTCTTTTGGTCTAGTTTCTCTAATTACCATAATTCATTATGGTAACTATGGAATAATATCTGTCTGTCTGATAAAGACAGCTCAAGAGGTAGTCCTGACATGAAACAAAGGACATGAGGAAATTTTTCTTTTATTTGTGCCTCCACTTGAGTTTCCCTAAAGACTCAAATTTCAACTTTCAACATTCATTACATTGGACTGTGTAAGGGGAGAAACGATTTTGATGCTGGGTGCTACCCTAAAGGCTCATAAATATTCAAATGTGCATCAGCAGCATTTGTGTGTTTACAAAACAGAGCGCTCTCCCGTGGGAGTGAGCCTGTTCCACTGGATCATGAAACGTGAACACCAGTAAATCACCCACACTCCTCACAACATTGTTTTTTTATTGTCTCCATTATTCATTGTCTAAACCATCAGATAAATGAGGAGTGTAACTTTACACATGAGACTTTGGTTTCTTCAGAGATAAATAATGGTTCAGAAAACTTGTTTTTTTATCCCATAATGGACGCAGGAGGAGGAGGAGGAGCGCTATTGCAGTTAAACCATCCGATTTGTGAAGAAGCATCTAGTTTTTCTGTGATTTTTGAAATTGGAAAACATTTTTGATCTCCTCGTTTAACCTTGATTGAGCGATTATATGAACATTGCAGGCTGTTTATTCTTGTTGAGCACAGAGTTTTGTTGAGCAGCTTTGATCCAGCATGAAATGAAGGACTGGGTGACCTTGCAGGCTCAGAGGACCAAGTTTGAGGGGATGGATGCAGACTCTTTGCTTTCCTGTCGCCTCCTCTCCTCCCACATTCCCGTTTATCAGCACCTCTGCACACTGTACAGAAGCTCAAAGTGTATCATTTACAACCACTCACTTCTGCATGCAGAGCAAAGAGACATCAAAGCAAAGGGAAAGCCACAGAGAGACAATCCCTTTTCTCTCACCATAAATCAGACATTATCTTCATCTGAGACAATATGTTCTTTCATTCTTTCAAATAACCCAGTCCTGTGATTTTGACCTTGAAACTTGTTTCAACCTCAAAAACTGATCCAATATCCTTTACAAACTGCCAAAAGTGAACACAATGGCTTCCTCAAATAGATACAATGCAGCTAAAAGGGGACATCTGCCTTGTCTGAGGATGTCTGCGCTGAGACCGTTCGGCCCTCAGCAGAGGATGAAGTGACAGAGCTGAGCCGGACAGAAGGGGCACAACTCCTGTGCTGCTATAAATACCAAGAGGCCTAATCTGGGCTGCCCAATCTAATAAAACTACTCTCATCTCTGCTGCTCGGCCCATTTCAAAGGCCACCAATGACATGTGAGAGCAGAGGAGACTGGAAAACAGCCACTGAGTCATCATCCACACGTGTGGAGGCCGGGCATGTTTGGAGCACATTAAAGCAGGCTTGAGTGGTTTTCCAGGATGTCTACCACTTGGTTGTGTAATAGCTCCATGTTCTCTCCATGAAAGCCACACACAGTACATTGAATGTTTCAGTAACATGTTTGTGGGTTCAAAAATCCATGTAAACAGCATGGAAGCCAATAAGCTGCAGAGTGTTTTCTGAGATAATTGTGCGAAACGCTCCGCCCTGGGTTGTTTTGTTCAAATTTTGCACTCAGGAATGCAAAGGCACTTGAATAAAGTGCCACTTGGTAAGGGAAAGTATTTCAAACATGCAGAAGTGCTCAGCAGACAAAACACCAAGACTCTGGTTCACAGGCACTCCTACATTTGAGGTTAATGATTAGACACAGAAGTAAAACTTTCACATTTCAAACTGCTTTGTCAGCTTTAAATCAGCATTGGATTGCTGTGTACAGGAACCAGAGTGTCTCTTATCTTGCCTAAACAAGCGAGCACGAAATCCCCATAGCTGACTAGTTCAGATAGAAAACTCGGAAAAAGAATGTGGGAACCAGTAGCTTCCCAGGTGGCCTGTTGCTCCTCTTGTGAAAAACACAGCTCATGGGAGAGGTTCATTTCCTATATCAGGGGCAGCACGCTGTTTCAAGCCATAAAAGTCAGATTCAGTGAACCCCTGAGACCTTGAGACCACACAACCACCATCTCAACAGGCAACTCCAGAAATAGATGGACTGATCTGAGCCACAAACGACTACTGTTCGGTATATGGCGTAATGAATGCGATGTTTGGGAACACCATCTGCAGGGGGGGGTTCATCCTTGATGTGAAGCACATGTGGTGGCTCACTGTTCTGAACTTACCCAAGAAGTAACATCATTTGGTTTTGGATTACACCTTGAAATGATGCATTCAGCTTTTCCATTGTGGTGGTTTTGTGGGCTGGCGTCCGAGTTTTTTTTTCTTTTAAGCTTTGGTGTAAAAGAATTACGTAATCCTGATGTTCAAAAAAGGGCTTTTCAGATAGTGATGACTGGATAGGTCCTTGTAAAAGACCTCAACAGTTCAGTTAGTGTTAAGTCACTTCCTGTGCCAGATGCTGCAGGGATGACATCACTGTCTGGTTTGAGACTATGACTTCTCTGTGGTAAAGCCAAGTATGGTTAAATCACAGACTCTGTGTGGGTAACTAGGGAAGGACTAGAAGCAAGCCAAACATGTAGTCATACTAATACCGTGGAGAAAGGGAGGGGAAGCAGCAGGGGAAAGCTACAGTTGTTTAGACACTGTAACTAAGAGATTTGTATTTGTTTTGAACCATTAACTGACTCCTAAATCTTTGCCTCAAGTCTAAAAGAAAGCAAACCGTATCGAAGGGGGAAGTTTTATGTTACAAAAGGCGGCAATGTTCAGATTTTTTTTTTCCTTTGATGAAATCCCAAGTTATTCCCATAATTTAGGAAGCACTGCCAAACATGTCAAGCATAATATCATCTAACAGAGAATTAAACATCTCAGACGATCAAAGCTAGATGCCCAGCACGCGTAGTTTCACGTTTCGTGCAAGAGACGTCTTGTTAAGTAAAAAAAACACTTGTCAATTTTGGGAACAAGATATTAGAGCGGTTTACGTGATTGGAGTACACGGGACAAGGTTTCAGGTTAAACTGCTCTCAGTGTACTCATGTAAAGGGCACACAGAGAACTGTGAGCATCTCAGATGTCCAATAATGCCAGAGAGGTGCAGCTCCCACAGGAACAGCTTTGAAGTGGCTTCCAACCTTTTTGGCATGTGGCCCCTTGAAAAAAAGCTGTGTCTAGTTGGCGCACCTTGTCACATTGCAGCAGAAAAGAAAAATTTCTTCTCTAAACTTCTCAGCTGGTTGAATTTAATTACCAGTTTAAGCCACAAAGATGGCATATTTCCAAAAACAGAATAAAGAGAAAATGAAGACGTGTAGCTCCCTCTCCCATTAATCATCTTAAAAGCTCTTAGATTTATAATGTGACCCTTTGGTGGGGCTGACCCTGAGTATATGAATCCCTGGACTAAACTATCTAAAGTAGTAGCTCCATCTCAACCAGCTACAAGATTACAATCAGCCACATGGACAACCTTTCCACATAGAGCACTTTTCATTTGAGCAAGTACATTTAGCTGATAACACTTCTACCTATTGTAAGGCTTTTAATGTAATGGGGTAACTAAACTTCTGAATACTTCTTCCACCACTGTCTATTGTTGCATACTTGCGTCAGGGGATTTAAAAAATAAGCTATCATGTGAGAAGACAAAACAAGACTCAGCAGCTTTCCCACAGGCTGAGCAATGAAACTGTCAAAGACATGACATAACGTCTCTGTCCTGCATGAAGCAGGAGGGCATTTTGAAACAGAGGAAGGGGAAGCAATAATTATTCTTACACAATTCACCTTCCTGCTAAAAAAAAAAAAATAGCATGTACTAGGTGCTTTCTCTCTGATGTTCTGCTCTACTAAAAGAAATCTCAGAATGAACTTATGAAAACCACCCCCTTTTCCCTTTTTCAGGCTGGGTAAAGTTCAATGGCCTCTCTCTGTCAACCAGCTGATTTTCATCCAGGCTGGGGGAGAGGAATGAGAGGAATGCATTGATGTGTATAAACAAACAACTGTGCTGTGTGCAGCTGAGGCGCGTGATATCCAGAGGAATGGATGTTGAGATAACCAAGGAGACTGCAAGGAACATAGTGTTCACCACTGACTTGCATTATGTAATAAAATAACTACACCCCAACCCATCCCAGAAATAGATGAGACGTGGTGGACATTACTTTTATTCCTGGTCCTTTATCCTTTCTTTAGTGAGTTCAGTGTGACTCAGAGAGACCTTGGTGTGAGGTATGTTGAGCAGCATGCTTTAAAAAGGCCGATTGTTTGAACTATCTGTAGCAGGTTGGCTCACTCGAAGCTGTGTGACCTTCCCTGCCTGTATGCAGAGAAAGTGAAACAAGCACAGCCTACCTGATGAATGATAAAAAGTTGCCTATTGTGACATTGAAGGTCTGGTGTGAAAATGTGCAGAAAGCTAATAAGGCATGTCAGCTTCATAATAGAGTTTCTTTTTTTGGTATTTTCTCTCTGGAATAATCCATGGAAAATGTCATTAGTGGTGTTCAGTGACTGCCTGTTGTGAGCTCAAAAGCCTTGATACTGGTGTGTGCTAAAGATGTGAAAATACTGCATCAAACTGGGACTTTAAAGCATATGGGGAAATGTAAATGACGTGGGAAGTTTTGAAAGGGTTTTTTTTTTGTTTATATTTTGTGCTATGTAATGCCCATGTGGATTTTTCACGAGTACATTCCTCTGCTTTCCAGTCAGCAGATGGATCAGCTGAGAATCAGATGATAGTTGAGTCAGATGACTTTAATAGTTGAGTTTATCCAAGTTTGCTCTATAAATATCTATGGAGTGAACTAATCCTGCTCTTCTTAACAGCATGAAATCCAAGTAAATAAAAACCATTTAACCTACTAGCTCCATTTTGCTTTGGTCTTTCAGTCTGATCATACTTTGTTGACCATCCATTCTTTTTTAACTTGTCAGTCTTGACCTGGCTGCAGTGCATGTGACAGTAGGACTCACCTGCCTGTTTATACCTTTATAAGCCTCCTCTGCTTGATTGCTCTTCCACCTCTCCTCCTCCTCTACAACCCTGTTAGCCTCATCTGCAGATCAAAGACACCTTGTGAAGTCCAGCCATTTCATTTCATTCCAGGAATATCTTGTATCCCCCTGTCTGCCCTGGAAGGCACAATAATGAATTCATTTAAATCTGGAAATATTGTAGGTCAAGGGGTCTGACTGCCAGTCCCAGTAGACAAGGTAGGATCAGAAAAGAGTTTGCACATCTAGCTCATAATTTGACACAGTGTTTTACAGTGGTATACTGAAATTCTGTTGATGGAAAGGAAGGAAAATAGATCCTTTCTTCTTCGTCCTTCAACAACTATTTCAGCACAGAGTGTCATAAAATGTGAAAGATAAATGAAGCATTTTATAGTTCAATTTGCAGAGTTGATTAAACTTCTGGCCATTACTCTTATGGATACGCGCCTCGTCTAGATGCGTCGGAGTTAACACTCCTCTATAAAGCAACATGGCACCTGACATAACTCAATCCAGGCATCATAAAAATTAGCTCTGACATGTAAGTCACAAGACGATGCATCCCGAGGACACAGACGGGCATAACTCATCACTATATTGTCAAAACATACCAGAAAATGCTGAACAAAATACCACAGGAGAAGAGGAATCACTGTCAGTTCCCCTGTTTTCAGTTCTCCCCAATTGCTTTGAAGTATCTATCATTGTTTGAAACTGTAGTGACAGCTCAACAACCAATTTAAGACAACTCCTTCGAAGCAGAGCCACTGAAATGGATGGAATATAACACCGTGGCAATACTAGATATGTCCCTGCTGATGGGATAATCCAGTTAGAAGTAGCATGTAGCCGTCCTCTGAAAGCAGCAGGGGTTATCAGTGACAGCAACAAAATGTCTGTTTAATGCAGCGTGCTGACAGAATTTGGTTGTAAATTTGAGAAGACATCAAGAGTACAAGATGGTGAGGAGTTTTATGAACACTGCTCTGAAACATTGGGTAAAAGCAGAACATTCCCTTGGCGAAGCTCAGGAACGTCATGGGTTTTCTCTGTGCTTCAAACCTGATCAGTTGACACCAAAGGGTGAATCCAAGTATATGAGCTCTGCCACAAGTGAGATCCAGCATGAAATGAAGGACTGGGTGACCTTCTCCTCTGCTCACATCATAAAAGTGCTAAAACATCTCACCAAGGTCTCACTGCAGAGATACTTTTCCCTTCAGCATGAATTGCGATAAATCACCTGCTTATACAACCTGACATGCTCATCCTCTGGTCCACTGCGTTAATTGACTCTTTGCTCAGAGATACCAACACAAACCATCGGAAACACTCAATCAATACAAAATGGTCAAAGTGATATTTGAGCAACGGCTGACCTCACTCAGAGCTGACTGAAACAGATCAGATTTCCTGAGGGTTATTTGCCCTCTGCCAAAAAAAAAAAATCACACTAGAGAAGGGGTGTGCAGAATTATTTACCCCAGACCTCCATGGATGAGGAAGAGAAATCTGTTTACCATTATCTGGCTCTTGTCATTTTTTTGGGAGGGCATGTACTCAGCATTTCAGAGAACAGCCAATAATGGCGTGGTATTTGTTAATGGCCAGTGCTCTGGCTAGCGCCGGGAAATCCCAGTAGAGATGGTAGATGGTGTGTGTCTGTCTGTGTGTGTTTGTGTGGTGAGGCTGAATGGCACAGCTAACAGGAAGCTAGGCACCCCGGGGCCATCTGCTCCCTGCCATGGCTCACATGTCACCCTGTGACAACACAGCATTATTGATTCACACTACCACATCCGCTTCTGTGTGTACACGCTGATGTGCCACAGTATATGTGTATGCATATGCGTGAGAGTGTATACAGTCAATTTGTGGACAGCAAATAAGTGATTTGCACCAGTACATCCTCCTCTGTGTTTGCCTGTCTGTGTGTGATATATGAAGTTTATAAACTGACCCAAATCCCAAAAACAAATTTTCCCACTTACCCTTGCGGTATCTATCAATGCAGATTGTTTCACATTTGTAAGGTTTTCAACCTGCCCTAATCCATTATTGATAGAATGGCTATGTGCCATGTAAAAGGTGTCGCTTGAAGTGACGAGAACAAAGAATTATCACCTTATTCTGCTGAAGACCCACATATATTTTCTCAGTGATGACCAGAACAGAGCTAAAGGGAGAGTAACTATTGCACCAGAAACATGAGTAGAATGAATGCTAATGTTCCGTGTGTGCTAAATGTGAAAACAACCACTAGCCAATAGCTAATTGTATCAGTGTTGCATATATAGCTAGTTAGCTGTCCCAAAGTGACCAAAACATTGTTAAATACTGCTTTACAATCTCTTCTGTTGAGTTTCAACCACAATACAGTGGAAGTGCACGAAAACGCATTTGCACTCAACAAAAAATATAATAATTTTAAAAGCCCTACACTGGTGTTTCTTACCAGAAACAATGCAAAGCTCTGCTTTTATGCTTTATATGGGACCGTTTCTTTAGCAGAAAACAGTTGCCAGGGAAAACTGTTAACCATGAGGCTAAGTGATAAAACCTTGTTTTGTGATTTGGGTTAACTGTCATGCTTGTTCTCTTTGTGAACTAGAAAATAATTTGAGGAATACTCCCAGCTGCATTTGAAACAGCAGTGGCCACTGTTGCTCTAAAAATTAAATGAGAATATCAAATCTCTTTTAAAACCCTTTTGGGAGTTTGTCCCAAAAATATCTACAATAGCTAGACAATGGGAGGAACTGTTTAACCTTGCCCTATATTGAGGGTGTGCCCACTGGCAAAGTCAACTAGCGTCTCAGTAGGCTCCTCATTATCCAGCTCCCACCATGACAGGAAAGGTGGAAAGTGCTTTTATCTGCTGTCTCTAATGGTTCATTAGGACATTTTTGCCATGCAGATTGGCAGTGCATTTGTGATGTGAGGCTGTTGATAGCACAGAAGCAAACGGGGCAGGGATTTATGGGTAACATGACAATTAAAGGACCACACACACAGGAGCAGTGATGGTAACACTTCTATATTTAGAAGGCTCTCACATGTCCCTGCATTTTTTAGGGATCTGGAACGTTACCTGACACTTGAAAGCCAGGTCTAGTGTGTTCTCTGTAAAGGGACTGGGGTCGTGTAAGTGAGTATGTCTGTGGTGGTGGGGTAAAAGGGAGAAAAAGAGGATAGGAAAGAAGAAAGAAAATAGACGAGTTAAGCTCTTAAGTGGAGCTCAGACAGCCTTTAGGGTTCTACTTGAGGGATATACATTTAGTATCCGAGTTTATCTGCTTCATATATAATTCATCATCTGACTGGGATAGTAGCACTTTTAAACAGCTTAGGCACGTGCCCCTCATGAAACAGGAAAACAGCAGGCTGTGGTGATTACTGATTTGAACAAAAATAATACAAGGAAACACAATCACACGGCCGAATTCACAAACACCAATCTGTAGTCTTTCATGGCCCCAAAGGCCTACACCGTGCGAATTTTACGAGGGATAAAATAAACAAAAACCACACACATATCAGCGTGTAATCTGCCTCCAGCGGTTCCTGAACGGAGCTCAGCTGACATGATCATCCAACAAAAGAAGAAATATCACCCACACCCTTCACTGGCCACTCAGGAAATAAACACCCCGCTCATCTCCATTATTTATTTACAGTTGATGCAGACATTCCTATGGCTCTCCTGAGGAGGCCCAGAAAAAAAAAAGCTCACAGGACAGGGTGGAGGGGCTCTGGGGAGAAGGGAGGTCGTGGAAACAGGCAGCACGCTCGCAGAGCAAGAGAATTATGTTCCAGAAACTGTGACAAAAACAGTATCTATGCTAATTGCGTTGTTTGGGTGTTTTTCACACATGGCAACATTTCCGGCATGTTCACGAAACGCTTGGCATGTGTGGAATGGTAAACATGACACAGAAGCAAAGAGTGTCATGTCAAGCTGAATGAGATCAAACTCAGCATCTGACCCTACGTGCCAGTCAACATGAAAATAATTTATATTGGGTGAATTTAGTTTCAGAGAAACAATGTGGTACTGTCTTTATGATAGCAGCTTTTTAGGACTGACAGTAGGTCTGCAGATCAACATGAATTTATTACCAGGAAAGAAAAGAACTGCTGTTCTAATTTTGAGTATAGAGGCACATTGTTTATTACACTCCATCCAGCTGTAACAAAAGCTGGTATATATCAAACAAAATGTTAGTTATTATATTGTTTTAGAAATAAGTAAAAAACATATATACTTTTTTGGGGGACTGGTCACAAAAGGGGGCATATTGTACCACCTGGCAACATCACATGCAGCAGTTTTTGATTCACTCACTGCCTTAAACTTCCATATAACTGACACATATGCAGGTGTGGACAGGGACAGACAAATGTTTACATATGTAAAAGTTGACATAAAATCTTTATGTCTATAAATATCTTTATAGACAACTAAGAGTCATCCGCTAATTTGAGTCAGGCAATGATTAAGATACAAATGGTCTCAGTATCAGAATTGACTGAAGTAGCTTATTTATTGTCATTCGAACTGCACCAACTAAGCTGTAAAGAGTTAAATTTGTTTTCTTAAACCTTATAACCACAGGACTGAGTGCACAGACTAAAGGTCTTTGTACTTTCTGCATCTCAGAGACCCACAGTAGAGAGACCTGAGACCTGCTCCTGAAAAAGCCTCTTCATGTCAGACTGTTTCAGAGAGTAACAGCCCAGAGCTGACTGCGTCTGTAGCAAATGTTTCTGAGATTACCGTTTGCAGGCTGATGGGTGTAAACACAGTGGCAGATGGCGAGCGACCGAGGACTGTGCAGTAAAAGGGGTACAGTACAGGGGAAAATCTTGGCTGCTTCTTGCCACAGTAAACCCTTTTGTGGTGCACAGTCTCCATTACAGAGCCGAGAGCCCACATCATCAGATAATACTGTTGGTGAAATCTCCAAACTCAGCCTTAGTTACAGAACTTTCAGCAGTGAAATTGTTATTTATCTGTTTTAAAATAGTGGGTGGGGACCCTAAATACAACCTGGATGAGATGCAAATGACAAATGAGATGAGCAACAAGAAATTTTGTGCTGTTTGTGCTGTGCTGTAATTGTTGAGGTCAGAATGATAAACAAATACAAATTAACAGTTGAAAAAATGAACCCCGTGACTGGATTTCTAGCTTAGTCATGACTTAAAGACCTTGTTACTGTTTAAAGCTTGTCCTCAAATGCAGCAGTCCCCTCACTGTCACTACAGACTTATGAAAACTCCAGGGAAGCAAAGCTAGGAACACTTCCTGAGTGATGGTGCTCAGTATTGACTTCTGTTGTGTGTCTGACATTGCATCTAGGAGACACAAATTGGATGTAAGTGGGAGCTCATCCAGAATGTTTTGCTCTCCTGTGAGCGGCTCCATGTGCCTCCTTTGTGATTCAGTTTGTTATCCCCCCCCCCTCCCACTACTCTGCCAACATGTCACCTACTGTATATGAAGATTAATGACTTCCTCGCTGTCTCAGATCCGCTCGGTTCTAACAAGAGAGGAGTGGGGTGCAGCCAGATGCCCGCAATAGTTTCGCAACATGCAGGTCCCACCCGTCGAAGAGCAGCTTGTACTCAGGGAATCCCCCACAGGATGGACCCAACCCAAGCCAACTTACATTGTCCTCTGTTCGCACACACATGCACACCTGTGACACACAAAGAAAAAAGGCCACCTGGCTAGCAGCATTCTTCAGACACCCGATCCTGCTCTTTGAGACTTCAAAAAAAGAAAGAAAAGAATTAACTCCTTCTTCTCATCTACAACATAAAAACAAGACTCAACAACAGTATAAAACTCTACCGAGCTAAATGCCAATGTCTGCATGCTAACAGTCACAATGCTATCGAGCTGTTAACTGACACTCAACACAAAGACTAGCTAAGGCAGATGAAAACATCACTGGCTTTGTTTGTATGTTTGTGCATAAACCAAAGTATTGTGGAAAATTACTTTTTTTTCTGATGATAGCAATAAATGAAAAGTCAGGTATTCACCACAGTTATTACACTTCTTCCTGAGGGGAATGTGAATTTGTGTGCCACAACTCATAGAGATCATCTAATAGTTGTTGTATTTCACTCAAAATCATAACTATGAATCTCATGGAGCTGCTCAAGGAAAAGTCAGGGGATCACTAAAGTCATTATGATTCAATGGCTGGGAACCGTGGATATATATATATATATATATATATAAGTCCACATGCAATTCATCCAGCTGGTGTCAAGACATTTCACTAACAGCCAAAAATGTCAGCCTTGTGATGGTGCTCGCCAATACTTGTTGAGAAATTTCAGTGTGGGCCAAAGTGGTGGACTGAGAAACACTGTCATCCTTAAAGCGTGGCTAGACGATAGAGAAGTTATTTCTTAACATTGCATCTGAAGCTGTAAACCTTCTAAAGTTGTGAAACTCTTGTTTTTCTCTGCAGAAAACATTTCGCTCCATGCCACCCCCTCAGCCAGTCAAACATCCCAGGTCAAGCATGTAATTTCAGAAGCCTGACTGTCTGCCACTTTGTTCAATCACTTGGTATTTACAGCAAGCTCCTATATATAAACACAGGTGTGCCACGTGTGGGTGAGGCTACAGTGGAAGTACGACTGCCCCGACTAGAGCAGTTTCTATCAATACAAAAGGTTGAATTTATACAGGTGTAGAAAACTGATTGTTGACAACAATGAAAGGACAGTGTTTCACATCCCAGAGTGTGGGAAGCAATCATTGCAGGAAAACAGCTAATTTACCCTCAGCTTGGTTTTTCTCTGGTATTTCTAAAGACCAGATCGTTTTATTTAACTAAAAGGTATATTTGACTCACAGGTGATGCCTAGACACAACAGCAATTAGTGGCCATTCCTATTTCGGGCCCAAATAGTCTGAGAAACAACAGGAAACAGAGGGTGGCTGATAGAAAGCTGTTTCCACACCACTCTGTCATGTCAGAATGTCAGTAAAAGGTTGATTAGCCCCCACCTTTGTTTTAAAAGCGGTTAAAAACACAAGACTCATCTCTAGCACACAATACCACAATGGACAGTGTAAGTGACTATGAACACAACCTGTCTAAATGCACATATTACCATGTTTATTCAGTGTCTACATTGTTAGGAAACTATGTAAACTCCATCAGGAAAACTACGTCTCTTAAAACAAGGGATATTTTCTGCACCCTCAGAGAGCCACAAGCTCATTAGAGAGGTGAAAGGACTGAAGCATGAAATGTGTTTCATACAGTCACCTAGAAGAAGCTGGATGAAATATGTACCTAAAAAAATCTTACCCCCAAATGGCTGAAGTTCCTCAGCAAAGATCAAGATGCACACATGAGATAAACAGTAGAAATGTGGGACATTGAATTCATTGCAATTCACTCACCTTCATCTTCAGACTAAACTGTTTGATAGATTATTTCCAAACAGTAGCAGCCATACACAAACACAACCGATGATGGCGAAGCCATGTCCTTGTTTTTTTTCTGGGAATCAGTTGTACCAACTGAGGGTGTTCATGTATATTCTACAATTAAAAATGTAGACATGGTGTGCAGGATTGGCAGATTCACTCTGCTGGTTAATATACAGTGCATTTAATTTGGACTATTCTAAAGCTAACAAAACAAAATAAAGAATATGAAAAGATTGAGCGATGCTCTTAGCATCTCTAAAATCATGACTACAGCCTTGAGACCACTCTGATGAGCAGCTTCAGCAACATGGGCTGTTGATTCAGAGATCAGGAGAAAGTCAGGAGAAAATCAACCAACCTTTAGTTGCTAGTTACACTGAAAAAAGATCTTAAGTATGAAAGTATAAGTATGGTCCAGGCGTAACAGTGAACAACATGGAAAAAAGAACCTTTCTGGCACATGTAGAATAATACAGTGACTTTCATTCTATTTCAAAATACAGCCAACAAGTCAATAAACAAGAAGAAGCTGAATTTCACAAATCCAGTCTAGAGCACAGATTAAGCTCTGTGTCTGCACTGGCAGTTATTAAATGTCAGGTAATAACTGAAACACATACACACACACACACACACACACATACACCTTAGGAAATCCCCCTCCTGACAAACATTCAAATGACTACATAAATCAACACCAGTGTCTGTTAGGCACCATTACGTCTATGCTGAAGTTCAAAAATATCCGAGATAAAAGTCGACCCGAGCCGATACTAACATGTCTGTTATTTTGTTTTAAAGCCTAATTTGAGCCAAAATAATTTGGATGTGGTTTTTGAGCCGCTGAAAGCAGAAATCCACCAAACAGACCCAAACTAGAGACATGATAGTTATGCTTTGGTTTAAAACACTGTGCTTTCTCTCTGCAGTGGATGCAGTCATCTCCAACCCCCTGGAAAACACAAAGACTATGATGACCTACATTATTATACAGTTTGCACAGGCTCCAGAGACCCCGAGCAGCATCTCGGCAGCCCGGCCTGTGCCAGCTTCAAGGCACAGGTTTGAAAAAACCAGACAAAAGAGTCCCAACCTCGATGCACTGGGGACTGGATGTTAAACACAGGGGCTGCACATTAACGCTCTATGTTCCTGGAGGGCCCTCTCTCTGTTGCCTGCCTTTGATATATGGCACAACCTGCCACTTCCAGGGGCGAGACAGACTCAAGGGGAATGTTAAATGGTCCTTCCCTTTGAGGTGAAATGTTCAATATGAATCATTGATTACCCCCCCACCCCCCACCCTGAGAAAAAAATCTGCCTCCTTCCAGCTAAGATAACCAAACAGCACAAATGTTATGCTCTCATTAAGAGCAGCTCTGATAATTAGAAGCTAATTCAAGACAAATTGGTTTAATGGCTGTTGAGGAGCACAGAAGAGGAGGCTGCTGTGCTCCTCACTGCACTGACAACTGCACCAGAGTTTGCAGGAGAATCGTTGCAAAAATGCACATGATTCCTCTCTGAATGTGTGCATGTGTGTAGCCAGGTGAAGGCAAAATGTAGGTGCCTCTCTTCTTTAGTACCTTAAGTTCATGTTGCATTTAGATGTGAAGAAAACAGCCCTGATAGCTGAACCCTGGCCAGCAATGCCTAGAGGCCTACATACATTAATTCGGTAGCGCTTTCGGTTTTGACATGTGTCTGGCCTCCTTCCTTCAGCTGGGAACCATAACCTAATGTGTCACATCATAGCAGCACTGGAGCACGCTGGTGCAAAAAGCTTCAGATACGGTTAAATGGTGAAACAGTCCTTCTGTACACCCGAGTGTACTGGTGTTGTAAGCGTTATTTCACAACGAATTACACTGAACTCTCCCCCTTTCTCCATAACAGCTGTGTGACTGCGACCAGGCTCTACAGTGAGGCGGGCTTTCTTCTGGAGCGTTGGAGGGTGTGACAGAGCAGGCTGTCTGATTTGTCTAATACGGTGAACAGCCACCGTGAGCGTCCAATCAGAGCCGCTCCGAGCGAGGCCGTCCATCTCGAGCCTTCGAGCTGTCCTGCGTAATGGGCACGGATTTTATTAATGATTGACTACAGATGTGGTTTTGATCTAGTGCGCTATTGAGCCATATCAGAATGCATGCTTTATTCTCAGACACGTACACACAAATTAAGTTACTGATTAAAAACGTCTTCAACCAGAAGAGCACAGTGGCACAACACGGCAACGCGCTCAACGACATAGAATCACACCTACCCATCCCCCGTTTTCTTGAATCCAGCTGTTTAGAGGTCCATTTAAATACTCCGTCATCCACTCCGCGATCTTGTCCACTTGCGGTGTCATCTCCTCCTTGGCAGCGCACTCCACGCACATCGTGCCGCCGAACTCGAAGAATGCGATAATCCGGCCCCAGTTCACCCCGTCCCGGAACAGTTCGTCTATCACCTCGGCGAATCTTCTCTGCGCCGTGGTGGAGGTGAGATGGAGCTGGCGCGACATTTCTGTGAAGTCTGGCTGGTATAGTCTTTCAAGTTCATCTCCAGCCTCCCGCAGGACTCTGTGAATGGCGGCGTGCATGTCGGACTGAGGGGGCCGCTTGCAGCGGTGGGGGGTGCTCTCGCTGTCAGGCCCAGTGCTGGCTTCACGGCACCGACGAACCAAAGTCGGTGGAGGGGCAACTATTGACCCATTATTAGCAGCATCTTCATCCTGGACATCATGAAATCCCCACACGTAGCCCCGTTTGGAGAGTTTATGGCAGATGTACTTTTCCACAACGTTGCGATTACACTCGTTCGCCATTCCGGCTTAATTTGGCACTTTGTACAAAACAGGGAATGTCCTAAATAAAATGCATTATGATCGAATATGTGCACGGTACACTGCTCTGCGCAGGCGTGCCCAAAAACTCGGATATATTCAAATACAACGAGTAATTCCACATAGGGAGAAAACAGTGTTTCGAAAGTTGAAGAAATCTCGTGATTAAAACTGCGCAGAAAACGTTTTAAAAGTCAGAAAATACTGTGTCCGTGTCTGCAGTAGGCTTCATCTCCCGAATCCTTGGAGGGACATAGGCGACCTTCTGTTGCAAAGAATCCAATATGCGGAAGAGGTTGGAGTAATGTTGATCTATTTCTGTGCACATCACCCCGACGAGGATGTGCTGCAAATAAAAAAAACATGAATGAGGGCAAAACTTGTGCACGCCTGAAAGGGCTTTACACGCCGCCAACTATTTTAGCAGCGTTTACGCACAACCATGCAAGGGACCGTAAGCCAGACAAGGTCGGACTGAGTCCTCTTCCACGATTGCTCCTCATATCCTCCCTGCCCACTGCCAGTGAGGTATTCCTGACGTCAGCTATTCAAAGTAATTCCTTTGGCTGTGCTAGGAAACTGCACTAAAATCGTTCACACCTTATATTCTCATGATTGCATGTTTAAAAACACACGTTTATGGGTTGAAACCCGGACAAAAATATAAACAACCAGCCTTCATTTAGCTGTTTACTCAGACCTGTGAAAGAAAAGCTCTCAGACCATCCTGGTTAATTCATGAGCAGCACAGGACCATGGCATGCGGGTGAGGGGCTGCTTTGATGTGGTCCAACCACCCCCTTGTGGATGGAGACCCAGCCTTGATGTACCTGTATGCTATTTCCCTGTATTCTTTGATCCACTTTCCAGTCTCCTCTAGAATCTTCTATCCCGCATTTATTATTCTCTGCCAGGGCCAACAAAGTGTTTTATGATCCTGTATTCTTCAAATCTGAGAGCTGCAGTTCTGGGAAGTCCCCTCATGGAAGATTAAAATCTCATCTTCTCCAGCAGAATGATTCAATTGACACCCCCCCCACCCCCCCTTCCCGAACAAGAACAGGAACTGTTTTCCTCACATGTATTTATTTAGCATATCACGTAAGAAAATAAGACAAAGGAACATTCTACTTCTCACATTTTCTTTCAATGGCACACCAGGTGTGAAGATTAAAACAAAAAGATAAATGCAAAAAATGAAACGAGTGCTTTATGACTTATGTTCAATACTTCAACTTATCTGATGACACCATTAAACGGGAAACTAGTGTGACTGTTACAAAACAAATGTATCTATATGTTTCAACATATTATAAGCACAGGCTTCATTTGCATAGCTTAAAGGTGTTAAACAAAAAAAAAGCTTAATATGGGCTACATGTTCTATCAACTATGTACCGCTACCTCAAGGTAAAAGAGAACTTTAGAAAGCAACAAACGTACAACAACGAAAAGGTCTTGAGTGCAGGACAGTACATGCCTTTAACCAATATCAAATGAGAACATCATCAAACATGAGTCATCCATTCTCACTTTCATATCTTGGATTTCAGTAAGGCGTCTTTATGTCATACAAGGACCAGGAATTGACAAAATACACAGCAGTTGGCATTTTACACTGAAAATCATATTAGATGAACTGGTTAAGCCATGCTGATCTGTGGACAGGTCCATTCTTACAGCATCACCTTCACCAGCAGTCACGTCTTAAGGCTTGAAACGCCCCCTCCCCTTGCTGCTCCACAGCGTTCACAGACTAAAATCAACAGAGCAGCAGCATCGAAATAAATCTTAACATATTTTGGCTTTTACATATCGATGTATTTAAAAATAATATTCCTATGTTCTGATTTTTATGCTTTGTATTAAAGTACATTCTCCCCGTTTCTGATGGACCAAAGGAAGACTCGCAAGACTCGACACTGTACTTTTTCTCCCTCTATATGCAAAACAATAACCAGGTTATAATAGTAAATACAAGATTTTTTTTTAAGGCCTGACAGAAATCGGGAGGGAATCAATAGTTATTTTTGGAGTTACAAAGTCTGAACAGAGGGTCAATGATCACTCTTCCCTGCTGGTGCCTCTACTATTTTGGCCTTTATGTGAAACAAATCTCTAGCGCCCTCAATGGACCTAAAGGGACATGACTCGAACCAGCAAGTCTCGCCCTGCCCTGACTTAAACCACCCCAACAGATTATGGATCCTTCTCGGATCTTGACTGGAATAGCTGAATATTTTCGCAGACACATAAAACTGCATGTAAAAATCATTTGCTTCCTTTCACACATTTAAGGAAAAAAAAAACAAAAACTAGTTACTGAACTTGGTCAAATGCACACGTGGAATGTCGCCTGTGCTGGTGCTTTATCCTCTTATTTTTTTGACTTCATGGCTTCAACACATAGCACCTGCTTTCCTTTGTCAGTGAAATAAAGTAGGTTGATGAGAAAATATTTTGGTCTATTTATTCCCGAGACAATAAAATTGAATGGCTTTTCTCTCCCCGGGGTTGGCTCAGTCACAGCAAACACATTTGCATACATTTGCACAATTCACCCAAAATGCTTTGCCTCAATCATGTCTAAAATTATTTATTATTCTTGAAATTGTGTTTTTGCATTAGGAAAAATAAAAAAAAACAAAAAAACAAGCTGTCTCTGTCTATTATCACTGAAGAGTACTGTTGTATCACAACAAAACATCCCACAACATAAACACTAAGGGACACACAGGTTATTTAGTCAAAAAAGGAAGGTGCTTTGCCTGCAAAGACTTGTGGTACAAAGAGGTATAGGAGGATGGACTTGTTTAAGGAAAGCGGCAAAATTCTTCCAAGGTAGACCGAGTTTTGTGATACATGCGACAATATGACAAAAGATGACAGGTACCATTCTGGTTTTGATCACAGCCCCTGGTGGGAAAGAATTTCAAGCCATATTTGTTACCGGTGGTCCGACAAACTACTTGCTGGTTTTCTTCTGTGGAGAAAAAAAAACAAACAAAAAACAAAACATCGCTAGGCAAGTAAAGGTAGGGAGGCCTGACATGTAAAATGTTAGTGGTTCCCAAAGCCTACCCACTTTAAAAGCAGCCCGTGGGCTGTTTAGTCTGCCCTTATTCCCCTCAGGTAAGGCTGCTCCCACAAAATGAAGCAGCCAGACACATTAAACAGAAATGTCACTGGAATGCTCTGAAAAGACAGAAAAACTGAAATGGCTGTGAGGTCTACGAAGGAGTTACATCACCGGGCAGGCAGAGTAAACATCTGCCACTTAATTTCATCTCATCTGATATCAGACGTGCACTCAACCTTTTTTCCCACCTATGGTGAGCACTTGTACGGCTGGAGAAGGGGAGGGGATCAGGGTGCGGAGGAGGAGGGGCTGGGATGTGAAGGTAAGGTAAGGTTGCTGTTACTCCCTCTTGTCAGCTGCTTTTGACTGCTCCCTCTGAATCATGCAGCGGCGTATGATGCTGTCAAAGCTCCCCAGGTAGAAGAGGCCGATGGTCCGAAATAATCCCATGGTAATAATCTGTACAGGAGATAAACTCAGGTTAGAATCTCCAAATCATGCAATATGAACAGCAGCCTGGAGGAGCACTACTTTGGCCAACGTGACAGTATCCTTGTACATGGCTGGCTGTACCTGCTGAAGACCTTCTGTGATGGAACTGACGGGTGACATTCCACAGGCGAGGGCTGAGAGCATATAACCATCAGTGCCCACAGAGCTGTTGAAGTTCCCCTGCTGCGAGAGCGAAGATAAAACAAGAAGGCAGATTTACAACAGATAATCAGTCCTTTTTCCTACAAAATCATTTGCTTAATATGTAAAGCTAGACGACAAACAGGGCGGGTCATAGATGAAGAGGATTTCTTACCACTGCATCACGCACAACAACTTTAGCCACTTGCTCTGGCTGAAAAACACCAGCTGTTTCAGAGATTAATTTGGTCTCTAGGGGCTAGAAGAGAAAATAAAGGAGAAAGGGACTTAAACATGAAGACATAGAAGTGAAATTATGTTACTATTTCTTGTCTTAAAGAGATATTCACCTTTGTCTTACTTTCCTCAGCATATCCTGGAGTGTCGGTGTCTGGGGGATAGGCCACAGTCACATAGATATTGTACGGCTTTATCTGGAATAGAAGAACAGCAACACTCACTCACTGTAAAGTCGACTTTAACTGCAGTGTGCTTGCTTGATGTGAGGTGGAACTTTGAGGAAAGAGAAATTCAAGCATGAGAGAGCAAAACTCACCTCCATCTGCAGCGCCTCTGCTAAGCCACGCAGGGCAAACTTGGATGCGGAATATGCAGTGTATCCAAACAGGCCAATCTGGCCCGCCTGGGAGGCCACAAACACGATGCGGCCCATTCTCCGCTCCTTCATGGTGTTTATGACGGCCCGTGTTGGGTAAACGCTGCCCAGGTAGTTCAATTCCATCAGTTTCTGTTGTAAATAAGACCAAGGATCACACACATTACAGTGGGGCAGTCCACAGTCAAGTGCTGCCTGATTGCTGTCACACAACTTTTCCAATAAACTACTCACAACTGTGAGGGCTTTGTATAAAATATTAAGAACTTCACCCTTTCTTAAATCACCTCTGACAGTAACTAAAAAGTCAGATAGCAATAAAACCTTCTTTGCTCTCAAGTATTTAATGCATAAAACACATTTTTAAAGAGCTAAACTGTGGTCCTCATGCAAATATATCATGTTGATCTTGTGCAAAGTTAGTGTTTATAACACACCCCCAGGTACGTACTTTAAACATGTCCACCTCTATTTCCTCAAACTTTGCAGAAATGGCCATTCCAGCACAGTTTACAAGCATATCAACTGGTCCCAGCTTTTCTTGAGCCTGCACAGCAGGAAAAAGCCACTTAAATACTTCAGCAATAAATCATTAAAGGAATACGAGATGTTTCACTGGTGAGAAAGTAACATTACCTGTTTTATCACACTTTCCACTTGACTATAATCACTGGAAACATCCAGCGAGATGCAGAGCACCACCTGAAGAAAGAAAGTGTACAAGGTCTTTTCATCCGCTGTTATGCTACATATGAACTTTTAATCAAAATCTGAAGGTAACACCTTTAACTAAAATACATACTAAAACCTATACCTGCTTGTCATTGATGGCAAATTTCTCCACCTCTTTTTTTGCTTGAAGCAATTTAGCCTGATGGGAAAAGTGCATGTTTAAAATATTATAAAACCTTGTGTAAAAGCTTATGAATGTCAACAAGTTTTATTCTCAAAACACAAAATAAAGGGACTTTTTGCACATGAATGGAGTACATCTCAACAGTAGTAGGAATAACAACAAACAGGCTGTGACTTGGCACAAAGGACCAGGCGGATGTGGGTTATTCTGACCTCATCTCGTGCCACCAAAGTGATGAATGCTCCTTGCCTGTAGCACTCAATTGCAATGCACTTCCCAATCCCACTTGAACCTCCTGTCACCTGAAAATTCGGAGGGCAAGAAGACTGCGGTATCATACATGCAACTTGTAAGCTGGAGCGGCAGGTAAACTGGAAACGTAGATGTCTAAAATATTATGAAACCTTAAAACATTTGACGTGTAAGTCAGTGGTGTTACTAAAGGCACAATGGAATGAGCAAAGCTGCCGTTTTTAGTTAGTTTACAGCCAAATGCAACTACTGGCAGCTAAATCAGGTCTTAAATTTACAGTAACGTCTTTTAAGTGGGCATGCCACTCCTGCAACTGACAGCAGATTCTGGAAACATGTTTCTGTCCAAAGGTTGGTGACTGTGTAGCTGGCGCTAACAGGCATGACAAACCTTTAGACGTATACTGCGCTAACATTAGCTTACAACGTAAAGCTAGCTATAATGTTATAGCTAGCGTTACACAGGTTAGTGGGGCAGCCGTTACCAGCCCAACTAACGTCAGCGAAGTAACGCTACCGCTCCGGTACACTCACCACGACGTGGGCCCCGTTCAGTTTCAGAGGTTTGGGACTAATAAGAGGCGATATCATGTATAACAGCAGCACAAAGGCAACGATAAATGCGGCAACTACAAGAAGCATGGCGAATGGCAGAAACAGCCACCAAGAACTGATGAAAAGCCAATCAGTGATTGCTGAACTCAACCCTTCTTCAGAGGACATGGGTGAAATCAAGCAATCGTTAGCTTGTTTGCTAACTGGCAGGCCAGCTTCTGAGGTTCGGTATCTGATCTACGAGGGAGGCGGCGTCCCTAAACGTGTGTGGAGATACAATAGACCTCGGAGGAGGAGTTGCTCGATGGTTTGGCAGCGAGTCAAAGATATGTTGCGGCCAGGTTTAAGTAAGGTTGCCGCGGTGAATCTTAGCTCCCCGTGACAAAGCACAGTCTGCATAAACCAAAACAAATGGAACTGTGCACTACAAGCGACCGTACTTGGTACTTGTAGTTTTTAAGCCGAAGGTATGTCTCTGGAATCCAAACGCTTCTTGACCATGTAATTACAACAACTCCCACAATGCAATGGTCCGCTTCCTCATTCGTCGTATCTTTTTCAGTTTAAATCCAACCAGCCAGCAAAGCGCAGATTCAGGAAGGTTTTAGTTTTTACCTTTTTCTTTTTACCGTGTCTTATTGGTCAACATATCTTGTGGTTAGTATTTCGATTAAAGGAATCTTTATTAATGAACACATTGTAAATATTTGTAATAACGTCGTAAATTGGTTACTTATGAGTTAATAAGATCTTTTCTTGATGTGGGTATAACTTTTATTTACATCATGGAAACGAAATCGAGAATCTTATGCATGGATGACCCATTTACAAAGAAAAGGCTCAAGAATCATAGGCTACATGTACAGACATGTACAGTAAAATAAGATGTTCCCCACAAAAACTCGGAAGAGACAGTTTGCACATTTTGGGAGCAAAACAGTACAGGTGTATACAGTCTCTTTAAGAGCTCACATGAAATCGTGTAAGTATTATACATTTGTTAAGTGTAGTGGCAAAGCACTCAATATATGAGCAGTACGTCCAATTGAGGAATGAACAACAACAAAAAAAAACAACAAAGAATTGCAGCTCTTCTAGAAGGCACATGGTGCACGTTGCCACTTATGGCTACAAATAGTTCATGTTTGGAGATGCAGTATACAAGGAGATTATCTTTCCACCTGAGCCATCACTGTCCAACTTCAACAGTTACTTTCAGCAAAATTCAGAATAGTATAAGGCTTAATTTTTGCAGTTTGTATTACAGATAACCAGAAAAGCCTGTGGATAGTAACGCAAAATACATCAAGTTGTAGAAAAATATGAGCTGAGTCACATAGTAATTCAAAGTCACCGGATCCTTGAAAACCAATAAAACAATGCTGGTCTGACACCACTGGTGATCCATTCTAATATTCATGTTAAAGTAAACAAATACAACTGTGTGGAAACCCATCCCGAGTATCTCTGTCTCAAAAACCTACAATGTTCACCACCTTGACACAAGAATGACACTATTTCACAATGACAAATTTTATGAACTGATGCCCTGCTTCAGTTCCCCAGCCCAAGGTTTTTACATTCCACAAAGCACAGTAAATATATATAAAATGCTTGTTTTTTTAAATACAAAATAAAGAATATATAAGGGGCATGTGTTAGTTTAGGTTGATGTATACAGACTAGAAAATCGTACATATGAGCTAGTCATAATTTAAAATAAATTATCTTGATTTAAGTGGCCCAATTTGTAGTGTCTGCAGTTTGTTTCCCTATAGACTTGGGTATTTTTCTGAACAATACCTTTAGTATTTACTGCACAAGTCAAACAACCCAATAAATGTCATTGACTTTTAATCACCTGCAGATAGAACATGTATAATCTTCTTTGGACATCAGTGAATAGCAAACAAATCTAGGTCTTTCACCCTCTGAACGCAGCAGTAATCCTCACTTGTGATAAAGCACCAGGCCTGGTGAATGGTTAGGATGAGACAAGAGACAAGCAAAAGGACAGTATAGAGAGACAATTACAATTCCTTTGCTTTGGTTTGGCTTGGCTCAATCATCCCACCTAGCCTTCTTGTCCAAAGTCGTCTGTGAATTTTTTCAGTTTGTCCAGATCTTGTTCATTGACTGTTGGCTTTGTGTTGGCCAGAGACCTCATCATGTCAGACTGAAAAGAGAGGGGGGTGGGGTGGATCAATCACATTAAAGTGAGGAGTCTACTATTTATTTATATTACTATCTAGCATTTTATATCCTTACCATGCACACTATAGGTTCCATTAGTTTCTCCCCTGGGACATCCATCCATCCCATTTCGATCGCGTTGGGATCCCCAGGCGAGCAAGGAGCCAAGAGGTCATCTACAGTAACTTTAGGGTCAGTTCTTGACTGTCCTCGTACCTTATTTAAACCATAAGAAAAAATAGTGACAATTATCTACAGCACAATATTACACTGAAGCATAAAACAGTGTGTGATATTTGAGAAGACATACCCGTTTGAAATGGGTTGCTGACTGGACTTTTCGAACCGGCTGCATTAGAGCATCTCTGACAATGACACTGATATCCGCTCCCGAGAACCCATTTGTCTTCTTGCCAAGAGTGACGAAATCAGAGTCAGTGAGACTGTTAGGGGTCGAACCCAGGTGGAGCTTGAACATGAAGGAGCGGGCGTGCTCTTCAGGCAGTGGGATATAAATCCTCTTCTCAAATCTGAAAGGGTATTATTGGTGTACACTGAGCATGGGTGAATGACAGCATGGTTATTAACAACTTTCAGGTCACAACAATTACCTTCTTCTGATGGCTGAGTCTAGGGTCCAAGGGATGTTTGTTGCTCCAAGTACCAACACTCCGTCATTGTCATTCCCCACACCTGCAAACAACAAATCAAGGGGAAAGCATTTGAACTTTTCCCCCAAGATGTTTTAAAGACAGTGTGCAGTTTCTGACCACTAGCACTGTGGGGCAGGTTTTTTTGTTTTTGTTTGTTTTTTTATAAAAGTAGGGGACTTGTAAACTGACGCAGCAGGGCCACCTCAAACTTCAACACAAGTTCCTACAGTTCCAATGATGCAACTTCATGGCATCTTTCATTAGACCTTTCTACTTGTCAAGTGCCCATTTCTTTCAAGCTCAGTGCCCCCCACTTTTAGTATGGGTTTTCTGTCAAAGTTATGACAACTCAAACCCAACCTTGGATTTCTCAAAAACAAAAAAGCTCCCTCCAAAGCCAGAGAAGACACGGTACAACTATTTTTACAGGCAGAGTAGTAGAACTGCTCCTCCAGAATAAAATAGTGGAGTACACCAAATCTACACCATTCACCTCACTGTCTTTCTAATTTTCTATTACTTTACACAATTTATTAAATAAAAATGTCAACCACGCTGAGTTATGCAAAATCTAACAAACATTTAAATAAATTCAAAATTAAATGACTGTAATAGAACCATTTCAGTCCAATAAAATGTATAAGCTTTGAGGTATACCACTACATTTACATGCAAAGGTGACCCAATATTTATTTCATAAGAGAATCACTGCAACCTTAAATAAAGATGAAATGCACTGTGTCCCCCATATGAACTCCTGTTGAAACTTCAGAGTTCCTTAATATTCACAACAAAATGTAACCGCCACAGCTTGCATGTTCTACATGCAGTGAATCCTACCACACACACAGAGTGATGGCAGGTAAATAAATTGTGATAATATGACCTGCCATAATTTCAGTACGAGACTTTTTTTCAGCTTAGCTCATCAGACTTACCCTGCATCTGAACCAGGAACTCTGTCTTAATACGGCGAGCAGCCTCACTCTCGTTCTCACTTCTTGAGCCACACAAGGAGTCGATCTCATCAATGAAGATGATGGAAGGCTTGTGCTCTCTTGCGAGGGTGAAGAGATTCTTCACCAGCCTGAAAAACAAATGGGGAAGCTTTCAGGAAAAAAAACAGGGGTGTGCTGTTGACTGCAGTAAATTTATATGGTTCCCCCATGCTTCTGTGTTTTGCCGATAGAAAAGACTCACTTTTCACTCTCTCCCAGCCATTTGGAGACGAGGTCAGATGAGGAGATGGAGAAGAATGTTGAGTTGTTTGCCTCTGTGGCAACAGCTTTAGCCAAATAGGACTTTCCAGTACCTGGGGGTCCAAACAGCAAGATTCCCCTCCATGGAGTTCTCTTTCCTGTCAGTGAAGTGCAGATGTAATTTAGTCTAGTCTATGGCAGAGTACATCATCAACAGTTTCTGATACAACTATTCCATGTAATACAGATGTTTGCTTCTAGAATTTAAGAACAAAGTAATGAGGTGGCCTTCTTATTAGATAAGATTTAACACCTGTGAAAAGGTGGGGGAATTTGATTGGAAGAATAACAGCTTCTTTCAGTGCTTCCTTGGCTCCCTCTAAACCAGCAACATCATTCCACTTGATGTTTGGTTTCTCCATAACAATTGCACCTGGAAAAAAATAACACACTACATTACTGAAAAGTCTTGCATGTATCAAACTCACAAGAATGACAAATATAACAAAAACTGATTCGGATTTTGAAAAAAACAACAACAAAACAAAACAAAAACCACACACACAAACCTGAGAGTTGATTTTGAAACTTCTTCTTCTCTGGATCATCACCTTCATCACTGTCATTGCTGGGCATACAAACATAAAATTATTTAAGAATAAAAACATAATTGGGTCTGAATTTAAAAACAAAAAAACAAAAACTGAGTGCATGTTTCTATATATCAAAGAGAACGGATTTTCCAAATCTGAATGGCTTCACGTTTTAAAATATACCCCACTGCCCCACCCACAAACACACCCTTTCTCATCAGACTGGGACTCTTTGACAGGCTTAGCAGGAGGAGCTTTCTCTTTCTTCTTTAGATACTCCTTCAACTTCTCTGCTCTGTCCAAGTATTCAGCACATTTTGCCCGAATGCTCTGTTTAGCTTTGTCACCCTGGGCTTCATCTGCCAGGAATAAGCACAAAAAAGTGATTTCAAATGTGAGTATTAGACATTGCGCTCCCATATTTTCTGCCTGCATTACCATCCGTATTGCTATAAAACTGTACAGAATGGCTTGCAGGTTCTTTTTAGGAGGAACTTGAAGTCTTTTTAATCATGTCTACAACCGTATCGAGAAAGATGACATGGTTATCAGATTATGGACGCTGCCTTGTCTGTATGCCAGTACGCTGTATTATTCCTTACATTTCACCACATGAAGAAAGTACTGAACAGCAGCCTGGTAGAGACGCAGAGCCTCCTCATAGTTTTGAGCTTTATCCTCTTGAGCCGCTTTGCTGGCAAGATCAATAGCTTTCTAAAATAACAGAACAGAACATTGGTTATATTAACACTTAGAACGACATTAGTTATATTGACACTTATAGGTACTGACACGAAAAGAAAGCAGGTGCGTGAGAAACAGCAACACAAAATGACAAATGCAAGCACAGGAAGTTATGAAGTGAACGAGTAAGAATGGAAAAAAATACTTGTATGTCAGCTAAAGGAGCTCTTCCTAATGGCGTGTATTTGCCGTAATTTAATGTAATGAGCAGATTTGATGCTACACGTCCTGTCCTGTGTGACGATACTTCACAGTGCCTGAACTTAACTTTGACAGCACTTTGTTTCACTTCCTTTTTGTTACCGTACATATAGAGGGCCGACAATTACAGAGTATGTACTTATAACACGAATACAAAAATAAAATATCAAGTGTTATGTTCTCTATTGGAAATTCATATTTTTTGACAGCCCAAAAAAAGACCAGCTTGCTAGCAAGGTTAATCTCATAAGTGGTCTTGTCATTCCAGTAAAACCAGCAAATGCAAAAACTGCATGTACTGTAACAATGTAAAACAGCAGCCTTTATATTATACACAGGCCACCGTATCAGCTTTTGGGTGGTCTTTTTGTTATTCACGTTAGCTGCCGAATTCATGCCTAGGTTAGCCAAGTTAGCTAGCCACGCTAATTAGCAGCTAGCTAATGTTATAAACGTTCTGTTTTACACTGTTGGAAGCATTAATACGGAACACCGTCAAACAAAGCTGTTGCGGTTGTCGACAACAACAATACTGTTTTCAGTTTAGTCCTAGATGTGAACAACTTTGTTAGCTTATTTTCGTGCTTGGTCAGCTTTGGGTTTGGTCCTCAACTTACCTGTAAATTGTTGTTGGTAGCCATAAGGGCCGTTCACTTGTCCAGTAATCGAAATTAATGTAACACCGCTGTGAATAAACAACTTTTAGACAATCTGCTTTAGAATTTAGTCTTACAATTAGACACTTATCTCGAAAATCGAGGTTTTCTCAGGCTTGATTTCTTTTCTTAGAACGCTCCCGAGCAAGATAGAAGAGGAAACTTCCGTATTGAAAAGTCGATACTCGTATGCACGGAATGTGATGACGTCAAGACGTAGCCTCGATACTGTTCAGGATAATTTACATTATTGAGGTTTTTTTTTTTTTACTATTTAGATTGACTGTATTTTAAAATTACTGGGAATCAAAAATTACCATCTGTTTATGTTACTTTTGTTACCCTTGTCTTATTTTGGTATTCAGTCTTTCGGACAATGGTAGACAATTGGCTATGACTGACTTCTGACAAAGTAGGAATGAATTGTTAATATCATTCTCTCACAAATGATCCACCACTGATCAGGAACTTAACTAAGTAAATAACAGCAGTAAGTAAAAACTCACTCATGCTTCAGCATATCCCTACTTTCCCAGTTGTCTATATTTGTACAAATATGATGTATGGCATTTTTGTAAGAACCTGTTTATTCTCTAGGTACTCTTGCAATTCTTCCACCCTGTCCAGGTACAGTTTACATTTATCTCTGATCTTCTGGTTGCCATCCTTACCCTGGGGTTCACCTGATGGGAAGGAATACATTCGTTTACTACCATTGTTATGGCCATTTTATAAAATGTCTATCATAACAAGTTATAAGCATGGCACAATTTAAAAATGACACAAACACACAAAACATCAGTAACTGAGTACTTGTAGATGCTAATTGGTCCATCATCTGGTACTGCAGTTACAATGATGGACACCATATACAGACTGTTAGGATGACTTACAAAGTCTCACTTATTGTAGGCATGGTGTTTTAGTGTGACATGAGATGCATTATGTTTTTCAGCCATGGTGACGCACGTTTTAAAATGTGCAGAAAGTACTTGACAGCATGTTGGTAGGAGCGGATGGCCTCCTCATAGTTCCCAGCCTGGTCCTCCTGTGAGGCCTTTTGTGCTACAGCAATAGCTTTCTGAAAGAGTGGGAAATTAATTAATATTTTAGATACAGTCATACTTTGTGTTTCTATGAAATAACTACACAAGAGTCAATGTATGAACTGCATAAATCAGGTGAGGTCAGGTAATTTCGGACATCAGGTGAAGTGAAATCAGCATGTTTTTAAGCTACCATTGCCATAAAATCCTGAGTTACTGTTGTGTGCCACCTTGTCATATTACAGACATTATTAGTATTGTTATTTAAAATATTAAAGATGATGCAGTGAGTACATATCAGCAACAATAGAGCACAGTAATGACATACATTCATCAAATAAATCCCAGAAAAAAATCAAGTTCTAAAATATTAAAGATGATGCAGTGAGTACATGTCAGCCACAATAGAGCACAGTAATGACATACATTCATCAAATAAATCCCAGAAAAAAATCAAGTTCACTAGAGAACAAAGAAATAAGTATCCCCCCAGATCCTGCAAAATATCTTATGAAGCCAAAGTGAGCCCAGGGCGACACAGTGACCTGGATTGCCTGTGTAGAATATGGGGCATAGTTTCCTGAGAGCTGTGGTGAAGAGAAAAGGATCTCAGATGTTGAAGCTGGATATGTTTACAGAGCGTCTGTTTAAGAACGTAAAGATTTAGGCTATTATTGTTGAAATTTATTCACATTCTTATTTAGTTAAAGATAATTCAGATTTTTACAAACAGGGTGATTTGAAAATGGACTGATTCCTCACAGGCCTATTTAGCGGATACAGTTTTCAAAGTTTTTTTGATTTAATGAATTAATGACTGAAGTATTAATGCATTTAACCATTTAAAAAACAATCAAACATGAAATACAACTGTTCTACACTTAAACTGAATTGTTTGGGGTTCTTTTTAAACTATGAGGCCCTACTGACTGCCCCATTTTACCTGAACATGTCAGTGGAGTGAGGCAGGTGTCCTTGATGGTCCAAAGTTCCCAAAGCATTTTGCTTGGCAGCACATTTTCTTTATAGATATATAGAAGAGATCCATAGCAAGTTCTAAAAGTAAAACTCAGTCTTCAGAATTGTAAGTGGTTTTCATTATCCTAAATTATCTGACTTCACCCCTCACTCTAGCCAACCTGCTTATGGATGTCAGTACTGACTTGTTCAGTCAACTGTGTGGTTAATTCAAACTGGTCAGTGAAAACCTCTGATAGACTATTACCAAAGGATTTTAGTGTCTAAACTGTAACTGAAGTATTGTCTGTGTCCAACTGTCTTAAATCCTTCCTCCTATACATTGAGTTCGTGTAGATATTAAAACTAAATAAGAGTAAACCATCTGCCTTAACAGACTGACCCCTATAACTTTCAGTCAGAATACTTATATTATCTACACT